TTTTTTTTTTTTTTTTTTTTTTGCTTGTCCTTGAATACTAGCAGCATGGTGGTTCTGGTTGCGTAGGTGTTGTTTAATTTTCAGAAGAATCTCTAGTTCTTGAAAAATCTTACTTTTGAATATTTGATAGAGGCTCCGTTGCTTTCATATTACATCGTTTATGGCATAATCGCTATTCTTTTGAGGTAAGATTGAAGCTTCGGGATGGGTTTGTAAGGAGTGTTGGGGTATGTATATGGGTGCTGATGATGATGCTGTGGTGATGATTGTTCGACCCCAACAAGTATAGCTTTGAAATCGGTCGCGAGAGCACAAGGTCGATGTCACGGTTGTATTAGAGAAATGGTTCGACCCAAATCGTATGCCCCTTGTGAAGTACTTTAACAATTTAACTAGGCGTGTCGTTTTGTATTAGAGAAATGATTCGACCCTAATCGTATGCCATTGTGAAGTACTTCACAATTTAACTGGTCGTGTCGTTTTTTGCCTCCCGAGCGATGTAAATGCTTCATATTAGATTGCAGGACGAACCATTGGATCCCAAGGGCTTAATCATCTCAGCCATCCATTTCATAAGTCATTGAAACAAGTGACTTGATGTTTAGCCAAGGACCGAGACGAAATGTTATGCCTACCACAGTGCATGGAAACAGGAGAGTCTTCCATACCAGCATTATGCTTGGCTTGAAGCAAGCATAATTTATTTATTTTTTAGAATAATTTTTGTAATATAATTTCTTAAATTAATTTTGTTAGATTCGAAATTATTTGTAATATAAATAGAAATACACATACAAATGAAGATTTATAGATTCTTTATCAATTAGTTTAAACTTTACACATTTAAAATTTTTAATTTGTTCAGATATTTAATTAATAGTTTTTAAATAAATTTATTAAAAAAAATATTATATGTATTAAAATATTAATAAATTATATTATAGTCCAACTAAATCATCGAATAAATAACTTGATTGGTGAATGAGTTATAAAAGTACATTTGCTATATAAAAATTAGTGCGTTGATATAAAACACATTATCAATTGGTTCACATAAATATTAGTAAAATGATATACAATATTCATAAATCATTCTTAATATGATTATTGGAAGTTTTTTACTACATTACATTTATCGTAATTTGAAAAAAAAAAAAACATTTATTGTAATAAGGTATTTCTATCATTAAAATTTATTAGTTTTAATAATCAATTAATCAATTTAGTCTGTCTAAACTAACACATAACTTGGTTACCCAGCTATGTTGTATTATGCCATAAAACATTAATTTCTCCATATAGTGGCTAATTTAAATAACTGTCAAAACAAAACAAAACAAAAAAA